AGTCTTGAATGAATCCCACATTGTGTCCATATCGTTCTTGGTTGTGGTGAGTTTGATGGATAGTTTGGTTAAGTCACGCTTGAGGTTCTCCCAGTTTGCTTTCGCATATCGGTAGCATTTTCGTGGCTTCCGGATAACAATGTGTGGGATAATGTCAATATCAGTGACTACCATTGCATGATCACTGATGCAAGAGACACTAGTTGAAAATTTAATGAGGGATGCATGGTTTGTAAGTACCAGGTCCAGGATGTTGTTGTCTCTACATTCATGGTGCACGTGGGTAAGTCCATTATCAACTGAAAAGTTTATAAGAGCTTGTGTAGCACTATCGTCGTTGCGACGTTGTTTTTAAATTTATAGACAAGGAATAGGGAAATAAGATGGGTTAAACAACATTTTTTATCTTTACAAATTATTCTCTATTGTCAGTCTTAAGACACTGTAAGAAGTAAATACACAACGTGAAGTAGAAGTGAAGACAGCTAGAGACAAATTCTAGACGATCACAAGGCTACAGAAATATGTTATAGTAAGAAAAGATGCATATGGGTCGTACGTAGGATGTGGCGACCGGTCTGGCATTCTCGCTCTACATGTCAGACAAAAGACCTATGGTGCTACACTTGTTGAACATCTCGCTGTGGGGGACTCTTTCCAACAGTCAGATCTTCCCAGTTTATGCCAGGACAATTGAAGTCACCTGCTACTATCACATGTTGGTTTGGTGTGTTAACTGATAGTTTATTCACAGATTCAACAAGAAGATTAATGTCACTTATGTTCCTGTGAGGCATATAGAATAATGAGATGTAGAGGTCCCTTTTTTAAGTTTATTTTTTGACCAGCATATCTTGCACTGTACATGACACTCGTCACTAAGAGTCTGTCATACGGTCTGTCATTGAGTCAACTGGAGGGGTTTCGATTCCTCGGTTGTACGTGACAAGGAGTAGGGTCGCCTGTACAACCTCGTGGGTTTTCTCCTGGGCTTCCGGTTTCCTCCCACTGCTAAAGACCCCTACGCGCAAGCGAATTATTGAAATAAAATTAAACCATATGTTAGTCCCGAAATAACCTAGTCTGTGCAATGAGCCTGGGTTTAAACTCTAATTAATGATATTTGTATTGAGAAATTGCTAAGCTTAGCCATACCATTATAGTTTTCTGCTGAATGCTAAAAATAAACATTACAGAACAGATTTCCAGGATGAAGAAGTTGTTTGCCAGTACGTGGATACCTTTAGTTGACGTCTCCAGTCATGTACAATAATTATGATTGATTACTAAGGTATAAATATGGTTTGTTATAAACTAAACACCACAGAGAGTGACGCTCCAGTAACTTGGTACAACCGACGATATGTGAAATGCTTAATCATTATATATTATCATATAATTGTATTATTGTTCCTGTATTTTTAAAATAACCAGATGAAACAACAACCAGTTTCACTAGTATATCCTTTGGTACTATATCACACTATTGTATTTGATAAAAATAATATTTTTCTACAAATTTCTACAGAACATCAAAGCAAACTATGGAATTACACACATGGCTTGCTTAGTTTTCTGGAGAACTATAGTATTTTCTGACGATAGCAGGGGCCTATTAAAATCGGTTCGCCCGTTTATTTTTCTATGTGCCAGTAAGTGTGTCAGAGATTTTCTGACACAATAATTAATAAATGAGCTAGATTATTCAAACTTGACTAATTTGACGAATGACCATTGTTATAAGCAGGTTCGTTGATCAAGGGTTTGGAGAGAGAGAGAGAGAGAGAGAGAGAGAGAGAGAGAGAGAGAGGGGGTAACGTCCACTCGACACAAACTAGGTCATTTCGGGACTAACATATGGTTCAATTTTATTTCAATAATTCGCTTGCGCGTAGGGGTCTTTAACAGTGAAAGGAAACCGGAGGACCCGGCGAAAACCTATAAGGCTGGACAGGCGACCCTATTCCTTGTCACGCCATCTGGGGAATCGAAACCACTCCAGTTGACTCAATAACAGACCTTATGAAACAACACCCACGCGTTAACCATTCGGTCATCCAAGTTCCCTATTGAGATGTGATAACTTTGATTCTAATTATGTAGGAGCGGTGAAACATGGAACAAAATTTCACTACATCAATATCTTAACTATGTTCGATAATGAACATTTGATTGGTCGAGACTTTGGGGCATAACACCTTTGATGGTGAGAATTCTCTACTTAGGCTACAATATCTCAACTTTTAATTGGGGTAAAATTTTCAAACTTGTTGTTGATGTGAATGCCTTGATTAGGTTCGATGTTTAATAGTTTCTGCTTAGGCAAAGCAGAAATAAGGTTGGTCGAGACTTTGGAACACGACAGCTTAGATTTTGATAGCTGGAGTTGGATGGTATAGTTTCACAACATAAAAATATTACTAAGTTCGATCATGGACATTTTCTGCTTAGGCTAAGTATACATAATCAATTTATCGATGCTTTTCAAAAAGATGAACATGTAATTTATTTTGGGACTGACGTGGGCGAAAGCCGTCTCGATGTTTCTTTGTAGCATTCTGTAAACTTCTAAAGAAAATTACGCATGGTTGCTTGGATCAAATCCATCGATGCAAAACTATAGTACGTAATTTCGGATCTATGTAGTAAGTCCCTAATGTGACAAAATCTACAGATTGCGTAATTATTTGACCTGTTATGTTCTCTAGAATCTCTCAAAATTATGTCTGATCCTACACTCTTTTATTTTTCGATCGCCAAATTCACCACAATTTATTTTAATCTTTGAATTGTTTTACTGCGAGCTATTCGGCTGTCTATTCCATCGGTCCAAAAAATATTTCTAGTTCAGCCATTTCGTGTGTCGCTTTTTTTCAAAAGCTATGAATAAAAAAAAGTGAAGTCGTCGGCCAAACCAAATTTATTTTCTGTTCTTTGGGAACACCGATAGTTCAAATTAGCGTTCTCCCATGGTCAACTCAAGTATAAAATTTACAGAAAATGTACAAACAATTTCACGTTAGAATAAATATTTCAGGGTCGTAGGAGCGATTGTCCACTGGTTGATTTGTTGTTGTTTTGTGGTTGTGAATTTACTTTTAACTTTATGACCGGAAAAGGATTGTAGGGCTATTTATTAGTCTGGTCACAACCCCCAGATCCGTGACCATTTGTCGGGGAACAAGGTTTGGCGATGGTTTCTGATAGAAGGGACCCTAGTAAAGATATTTGTAGTTTGCTATTCTAAAATCTACGGGCTAACTTCCTGGAGTGACGAAAATCCAAGATGGCGGCCCAAAATGATCTGAAATTGACCTGTTGGCGAAATGACCCGCGCAATATATCATTTTATAGTTTTTGTTGACCACCGGACCCATTTTGGACGGCTTCCGATTCATCTCACAAACTGTTTCTCTAATATGGCTGCCAAAATTTAAAATGGTGACAGAAATTGGCTCGAAAGGTATTCTTTCAATACCAATAGCGACATATGTGATATGTCGTTTCAGGGGTTGCGGGGGACAATAAACGCGAATATGCCATTTCTATATAAAAAAAAGAGATAGCATTGAAAAAATAAGCATTTTCGCAACTACAAACCTACACGTGTAATAATAACAACCATAAATAGACATCCACGAATCTTATCCTGCATATATTTCAGGTATCATAATACAATATATAATAATATATTCAGTAGCGGGACTCAAATATCAGAAAAATTGTATTTTGAGTCATCTATCGGACTTGCGCAGTCAGATTGAGAAGTATTGTTATTTTGGGAGATATCGAGTGAGAAGTTGTTTTAAACACTTAGACATAGAGCATCGGGTGTGTATCATACAGACAAACATGTTCTATCCACTACTTTCCAACAATTCCAAAGAGATGGGATGAATGAAATAGAGTTTTATGGCACGTCAGCTCCAACCGGGATATATTGCGCCAAACATTCCAAAGAGACGATTTTGGATTCTGGAGTCTGTAAAAGCAGCATTATGTAGGGTTGATATAGTTAGCTCTCTTGGCCTTTTGCATAAAACTATCGGTATCTAGTGGCATACGTGTGGTAAACACTATCAATTGTATGCTTCCATTAAATTAGAACAGTAAATTATGATTTTTTTTTCATTTTTTGCCGATTTGAATGAATTGATTATAATATTTCTAATTGGCTGATCATCATGAAACAAAACCTCTCAAGAACATTTTGTGCGGACTGAACAATTATGCATCAATATCTACAGAAGCTCAAATACGAACTATTTTTTTTTATTATTATCTCCTGTTTTTATTTTTAATTTGTAATTTTGAAAAATGATTTCTGATTTATTTTTTTAAATTATCGATGTTTTAGATTAATTTTCAGTTTTGTTACTTTTTATTTCATATTTGTATTTTTTATCTTTAATTATTTTGTATAAAATTTTTTAATTTTGTAAATGTGTTTTCAATTTTATAAATTTGTATCAGAACCAACAGACCATTCCGGTTCATTCATATCTTTCACAGTAATAGGACTATTACTAGAATGCCCTGTCGCCATAGGAGCCACTGTGGCCAAGTGAGTAAGACGCTGGCTCGCTAGCCTGGAAGTCGCGGGTTCCCTCCCGGTGTTGTCCGGGAAAGTTCATCGGTATTTGCGGGGATTGCGTGGCCGAATGGTTTTGTGTGCGTTGAATCCGAAGATTTGCCAAATATATATAAACTACACAATGACATAGGCCTACTTATGGAAGAACAATTACTGATTTATTTAGGCGACGTTTCGAAGAGTATTCTCTCAACGTTTTGAAGCTAGTACTATACAGTTACTAAATGCCTGTAAAAGGTCATATGTTATATATATTACGTCATTGATTCAAAATGTCACGTTTCGCTTTTTACATAGACAACGAACGCACAAAGTGGCTGAACTCGGGCACCATAGTTGGAAATTATTTTATATCTAGGGGAACTAACTCTAATTAATTGTTCAGCGGAAGTCTCCAGTGTCGGGAATGTCACACATGAAAAATTCCAGTTTGAAAGTGACAAGTCTGGATATCAAAATGTAAGAAGAAATTGAAAGTCGCCCAAAGAAAGGCGAAAGAAATAAACAAGGGGTGAAAAAATGTTGGCTACAAAAGCTTTCCCAGCTGCCCATGAAGATCTAATTCACGATATCGAATACGATTTTCATGGAAGACGAATGGCAACATGTTCAAGTGACCACACTGTAAAGGTATTAGGCTATATTAAACAATATATAATAATATTATTTGGCATTACCGCCTTTTGTTGTATTATTTGTAATAACATTATTATTGGCACATAATTTCGAATGTTTCTCTGGGGATCGCTTTAAACCAGTTTTACAAATGCTTTCTTTATGTGTTTAGTAGAATTTATAAAATTTTTGGTACAACCCTCGATCTTAACCTCAGGTATTACTATTACAAATGAATGATAATGGTTTAATTTACAACTGCATGTAACTGAGTATTGTAAAGGCAACAATTTTGAAAGTAAAAGTTGTTAATTGAATTGGACGAAATGGCACTTTTGCACCTCTACCAGTTCCCGCACCGCTACTTCACTTTCGTACACCTAAGTTAAGTAGGCCTACTTCTAATAATAAGTGCAGGGGACTGCACCAGGTTCACAATTACACAAAACAAATCTATGGACATAACACAATACGCAAAAATCACAGACAAACGTACATATCAGATTAAGTGAATGGATCCTGGGGACTAGCCGTAGGCTTAAGCATCCACTGTTCTGTACAATTAGTACCGGGCCAGTAGTGAGTGATACAGACTTCACTCAAAAATGAAAACTAACAATAAGGAGGAATATGTCCCAAAACATTGTATAATCCTAGTACGAGTCATAATCTGCTATATGCCACATGAAATATGAATGTAAGCCTATTGAAGGAAAAAAATTACCAAACTACCATAGTTTCCAAGTTTTGAAAATAAAATAAAACAGCAAGGCATTACAGTATGACTCTTCACAAAGTGCAAATAATTTTACTAATCAAAGACAGGGTGTTATGTCACACTATGAGAGGAAGTCTTATCAGTATTGTAGGTAAACAAACTAGCAGCACATGCAATATAAAATTTGAGTCTGTGAACACCTTGGTTTGTTGAAAAGGTCTACATGATATAACAAAGTTGTTGAAATATTCAAATAATGACTTTTAGTCTCTGTATTTATAGTGACTGACACTTCCTCTCATTAAATGTCAGACAGCCATTTAGTCAGCTGATTAAAAACAAAATGATATGCACTTTAGGTTGTGCAGGATTGATTCTTTGTTGACTAGAAGAAGTTATTGAATGAAATACGATAAATCTGCAACAACTGTTGTTCTCCTTTAAGATTTGATTTTTTTTCTAGGTGTGGGATTGTGATGAAAATGATCAATGGCAATGCACAGCAAGCTGGAAAGTAAGTACAAAAAGTATAAACAAAACTTATTATCGTACTTAGACACACCAATTTAATTTTCCATTCTTCTGGTTCTTGATAAAAATTAAAATTGCCACTTGAATCCTGTGAAAAATGTTTTGTTTAAAATTTGAAAACTTAAAAATTTGGAACTAAAAGCTTTTGAACAGTACAACCAAGTACCTTTTCATACAAATAAGAGGGGCTTTTTTTATAGGTGTTCCAGAAGAACAGAAAATGAAATAGATGTGACCTTAGCACAAATTCTCAATGATCTTCGATGACTTCAACTAAATGTTTTATTTGAAAAGAAAACTTGGTTTATTATGTTTTTCTAGGCTCACAATGGGTCAGTGTGGAGAGTAACATGGGCACATCCGGAATTTGGTCAAGTTATTGCAACTTGCTCATTTGATAGAACGGCAGCTATATGGGAAGAATTAATTGGTGATCAGGCTAAAGATGGGAAGACACAATGGGTTAGAAAGACAAGTCTGGTAGATAGTAGAACTTCAGTTACAGATGTAAAATTTGGGCCTAGACATCTTGGTTTACAACTGGTACAAACTTTTTATTATGATTTTAATTATTCTGGGTTTTTTTACCTTCGTCATCTGATTTAAAATCAGATGGTAAAACTTTTTTATTTCACATTAAAGATACGTTAGTTAAGATATAAAGAAAGGTTCAGACATTTCTTGCTATGATACTGATAGTTCAAAAATAGATAATGAAAAATTAATATAATGTCAGTCAAATTACTTTGTTCTGAGCAAAGTTGTGAATGTTTGATGTTTTGACAACAAATAGCCATAATTGGCAGACGAAAACTCTCAATTGTCAAGTACCATTTCCATTATTGTCAGTCCTTTTCATTGGCAGTCTCCAGCCATATCAACTTTTGACACAGATTTGGCGGGCATTGTCTAATCCACTTACTATCTAAGCCATCCGGTTGTCTCGATAATTGGTTATTGGCTTGTCATGTGCATATTCATTTGTAAGTGTCTAAATATTGATTTAAATAACATTTAAAGCCAGAAACACATCAGGCAATGGACAAGTTGAGCTCTCACATAATGCCTCTTGAAGATCTGACATATTTTGTATGACTTGCTACAGTCACATTGACATCTGACATATTTAGTTTGAAGTCGGATGTTCGGATCACAAAATATGTTGGCTACTCAGTTTCTTATTGATATTTATTATATTTCGGGTCAGGTACAAGTTCAAAATGTCTAGTACTTACATGTGTTCATTAGTGCGTGTCATTTTGTCAGGTTCAACTAAAATCATAATTTCCACTCTACACAAAATAGGTTAGTTTGGAACTAACATATGGTTCAAAATTATTTTAATAATTTGCTTGCTCGTAGGGGTCTTTATCAGTGGGGGGAACAGGAGGACCTGTAGAGAAAATCCACGAGGTTGGACAGGCGTCCCTATTCCTTGTCATGTACACCTTGGGAATCGAAATCATGCCACTCATTCAATGACAGACATTATGATCTAAAGCGCACTTGTTAGACCATTTGGCCACCTGTGACCCAACCCAAAATGTCCAGACAGTACACATACAATAAGTATCTACTTACATTTTTAATATGTGTGAGATTAATTTGAGTATAAATGTTAATTAAATATATTTGTAGGCGACATGTTCAGCTGATTGTATTGTACGTATTTATGAAGCACAGAATGTATTAAATCTAAGTCAGTGGTCGTTGCAATATGAAATACAGTGTGGTATAACTTGTAGCTGTCTGTCATGGAATCCATCATTGTCCAGGTAAACATCTTTAAATGACAGTAAGAGATTGATTTATTTTTAAAATGTCAGTGTTTAAAAGGCTCATAGTATTTTCAACAATTTTGTGTAAAGATTCTTGCATACTTTAAAATTAATAACTTAAATACCATTGATGATTTTTACAAACTATTTGACACAATAACCCTCAGAAAGCTTGAACCTCATCTGACTTAGGACTTCATCTGACTTAGGACTTCATTTGCTTGGATGGAGCTAAGGAAATACCTTGATTCATGACAATTTCTTGTGAACACTCTATCTACAGACTACATTTATCATCTGATGTTGTTTACATTAGTGAGATGAAGAAGCCTATTTTGATTTCAATAATTTCTATAATTTCTTCGCGAGTTATGGTCCGTGTTTCATTTTGTTGCACCTTGTGAACACTAACAAAGTTATCATCTGATCTCTATGAAATTTATATGCATCATTTAAATTAGTGAAACAAAGGATCCTGTTTAATTTGAGCAATTTTTTTTATTACTTCCAGGGATATGGCCCTTGTTTCCTTTTTATACGTCCACATTCATAATGTGAACGTATTATGCCGTCGCCCCTGTCTGTGTGTGTGTGTGTGTGTATGTATGTATGTGTGTGTGTGTGTGTGTGTGTGTGTGTGTGTCTGTGGTTCGCCTACAGGGCGCAATTCTTCATGGATTTTCTTCAAACTTGGTATACTTATTCCTTATACCCCAAGGAAGATCCCTATTGTTTTTGGTGCATGCCCGACCCCCCGGGGCAGAGCCACGCCCATTTCTAGTATTTGTTTGTTTGTCGTCTACAGGCCACATTTCTTAACTAATAATCTTGAAACTTTGCATACACATTCTTTGTACCCTAAGGAACATCCCTATCGTTTGGGGTGCATGCCCAACCCCCAGGGGCAGAGCCACGCCCATTTTCTTTTCGTGTGTCTTTGTGTCGCCTACAGGGCGCAATTCTTACTGGATTTTCTTCAAACTTGGTATACTTATTCCTTATACCCCAAGGAAGATCCCTATTGTTTTTGGTGCATGCCCGACCCCCAGGGGCAGAGCCACGCCCATTTCTAGTTATTCTTTAAGTGGCATTTAGCGATCAGGGAACAAATTAACAGAACACAGTTTTTATGGGATACAATCACTAGTTTATTCTAAAAGCACGACGTTTCCACAAGTATTCTCTTATCGTTATCAATCAAGCAAAAAAAAACAAAAAAAAAACGTCATGCTTTTAGAATAAAGACATCGATTGTTTTAAAATAAAAATTGTGTTCTGTTAATGTGAACGAAATGTTATACTGATAGCAGTCCTACAACCCAGTTTTATTTCACAGACCCTCAATGCAAACTGGACCATATCAAACAAAACAGGAATGTGGACGTATATTGCTGCGTTAGCGATGCTCTTGTTTGAATTTTGTGAAGGCTCGAATGACGAAAATTACCATCCATATGTATGAAATTTATATGCATACTTTAAATTAGTGAAACAAAGCAGCCTACTGAATTTCAGCAACTTATAATTACTTATAGAGTTGTTGCCCTTGTTTCACTTTGTTGAACCTTGTGAACGTTCGATCTGTATGAAATTTATATGCATGATTGAAATTAGTGAAACAAAGTACCTATTGATTTTCGAGAGTTAAGGCCCTTGTTTCAGCTTGTAGAAACTTGTGAACTTACAAACGACGAAAATTATCATCTGATCAGTATGAAATTATTTTGTAAATGTCCCCTGTTACCTACAAAACAATAAATATGCGACCGCCTTGTCGACCGCTCAGATGATTAAGCTGATGTGGGTGTATTTTTCGTTGTCTGGCCATCATTCATTTGGGATAAGCAACTGTCAAGACATAGCTGCTATGTGAGCATATTTCTATGCTTTGTGTGGCTATCTTTTTTCTTATTATTGTATTTGTTTGTATGTTAATAAACAATGTTTGCTGTATTCTGAGAGGTAGTACATGAATAGAAGTCCTTGAATATTTAACATTAAAATATTTCAGACTGCATCCAATGATGATAGCTGTAGGTAGTGATGACCCATCCCCGGCTACTGGAGGAAAAGTACATATATATGAATATAGTGAAAATAGTCGGTAAGTTTTTTCTAACAGGACTGGTCAGCCGAGAATTAAATAAAGTTGCTCAGTAATTTGACTTGTTAAATACGACTTGTAAGGTTTGTTAATCTCTCATCGCAACCTACAATATTGTGAAAGGTGAATCTCTCTAATAGGAATATCGGTCCAAAAATGGTTCAATTCCGTTTAGTATTTACAATGATGTGTAATAAGCCTGCTGCCATTCTGTTGTGGCCAAACAGAAATGATAGGCCTGTTTTAAATCTAATTAAATCCAATCTGGCAGATTTTTTATGTTAAATAATCGATATGAGAACAGATTAGCTTGTATTAAGCCAAGAGAATTTTGATATTTTACCAAAAAATGCTAATGACGTATCAATACTTTAAGAAGTATTTGAAATATAGCAGTGACCTGCAGATTCTGTTGTATATACTCGCTGAACAAAAAGAAAGTAAAAAAGAGTATATCAAGAAATCGTTGATCCATTAATTAAGGTCTATAACTTTAGCTGATAACTGGGGGATGGTTTTACTTTAAAACCAGGTATATTTATAATGCACATCACTGAAGGTTATTCTCATAGCTTCTGATAGTTATTTGAGCCTTCCGTACAGAATTAACCATTTTGATTCACTGTAATATATCTTACTTGGATTGTTTAAGATCAAGCCATCACATGGCCAGGAACATGAGTATGTGTTCTTGATATTGACAGGAAATGGAAGAGAGTAGAGATTATACCTGTGTCTACAGAACCAGTACATGATTTAGCTTTTGCTCCAAATCTAGGTCGTTTGTATCATACACTAGCTGTAGCCTCTAAAGATCTCAGTATTTTCAGTATTAAACCTCTGGGGTAAGTTCATTATTAAGTTTTTTTTATATTGAATTTGATTCACCATATCCTATTGTCCACTTCAATGTATTTTACGGCCAGACATTTACCAATGCAGACGGACATGTCCAGCATATATAGACGAAAGAGAATAACTGGTGTTAATATTGACCTTTTATTTTAAAGCACCAAAACCACACGTGTGGTTTGATTAAAGCCATTAATGATGTTTCATACATTTTGAAATTTAATGTGAATTGAAGTAATGTTATTTTCCAATCATGTTGTTGAAAGACTCCTCAGTGAGTGGGAGCCAAGGGGCTAAGTGAGTAAGATGCTGGCTCAATATCCTGGAGGTCGATGGTTCGATCCTGTTGTTGACCGAGGAAGTTCATTAAGATTTTCCAGCATGGTTTCCCCCTGCAGTGGTGCAGGAAGGAGGGCCTGACAAGGACAGCTGTCTAATCGTTCAGATGGTATGGAAAAACGGGTCCCAGTGTACACATTGGCATGCACGTAAAAGATCCCTAGGCAGTTGGAACGCCCCTGTCCGAGCAAATTTTCCCTCATAACACACTGTATGGGAGCAACTCTTATTTTCATTTAAACAGCACCTAAACAACATTGTTTTGATTGAAAAGATTAAAAATAAAAAACAACAACATTGATTGCTGGCTTGGGTCATGGTTCCTGTAGTAAAGGGGGGTAACTCTAGTTCAATCCTTTAGTGATCTGTAGACTCATTGAATTAAAAAAATAAAGCATTGGATAATCACCGGTTACTTGATCTTCTTATTCTTCTAAACCAAACAACATTGTACCATGGAGGTGTTATCTGAGTGCAACATAATCACATTTTGTATGCTTAAATTTAATTATTTCTCAAGTGGAGATACATCTAGTAAGTATACTGTGTATCTGAAATATTCATATTTAAACCTTTTAATTACAGTAAAGAATCTTTAGGCTCAGGTGGAATAAGTAAATTTGAAATGCACAGAGTTGCAGAATTCTCAGATCACGAATCACAGGTATGATTAAAGGTCTAGTTGTATATTATAAAAGGGTCTAATCTTTCGAATGGTATTAAAAACCGCTGTCCTGTGTATACCATTGACAACACTTTAAAGATCCCTGTAGGCTGTAGTGTCGCTGCCCTGGCAAACTTTCCGTCATAGCCTGGTTGGTGCAATTGAGTAGGATATTTATTCTGTGGCATATGTTTTTTGATAAGGTAACCATTTCTCTGTGTGTGTGTATGTATACTGGACCACCAATAATATATATTTTCTTTATATGAAGTGATTGTTGGCAATATATTAACAATACAAAACTACAAAAAAAAAATATAAGATTACACACTACACATATCTTGTCTTGTACATGATACCAGCCACTACTTACTGTATTTGGACTAAAAACATATTCAAACTAATTTATCTATAAAAGGTTTGCTTCAAGTCCCTCTCAAGAAAACCACTTCATGTATTTGTTGTTAGTTGCTGTCCATTTACCAGATATTTCGATACATAAGTAAATTCTTGGATTATCCTCTGCCAACTTATTTTTCCTCTGTTTAATCGCAGAGCATACTGGGCATTTAAATCTTTCAATGTTCTTACAACTGTCAGCAATTAAATCAACATGCTTAAGAAGCTGTACTTGTGTCACTTGAGCAGACAGACTGTCAGTTACTGACACGTACAGTTCTGTTTCTCAAAGAATCCAGTAATTTTCTAGTAAGATTGGTTATCTCTACTCTCCATATATACAAAATATGCCATACTTTTATTGTAAATAACGACTCTATGATTACTTTCGTTGGAATGTGTATCTTTAATCAAGCACAATTAGCAGCCCAGTTGAATAGTACAACAACAAATTATGATATTTGAACTAGTACATATTTAAAGTTTCTACTGTTTTATTATAATCAGGTATGGAGATTAAGTTGGAATGTTTTAGGAACAGTTTTATCTTCATCTGGTGATGATGGCAGAGTTCGATTATGGAAAGGTAAGGTTTATTAAACTTTGATATTTTCATATTTTCATGTGGACGTATTATGCCGTCGCCCCTGTCCGTCCGGATCGAAACTTCATGGATTATGGCCCCTGATTGTACGAAAAATCACGTTTTTAGCCTGTGGACCCTATAGAGGTCACAATTTTTATCAGATTTATTTGAAACTTGAAATGTAAGTTTATAACCTAAAGATCTCGGTTCCTTTCGATATTCGCGCATATCGGACAGTAACTTCTTGAATTATGGCCCCTGTTTGTTCGAAAAATCGTGTTTTAGCTTGTGGACCCTATAGAGGTCATAATTTTTATCCGATTTAAAAAAACGTATTATTATATCACCGTTACACCCTAAGGACGGCTGAGTTCGAATTTCGTGAAAATCGGCCCAAAACTGACATACAAAATGGTCGCCCTTCGTTCTCAAATAGCGTAAAAATATGGTATATCAAGGTTGTGGACCCTATAGAGGTCACAATTTTAATCCGATTTTGTTGAAACTTGAAATGTAAGTTTATAACCCAAAGATCTTGGTTCCTTTCGATATTCGCGCCTATCGGACCGTGAATTTATGGCACCTGATTGTATGAAAAATCGCGTTTTTAGCTTGTGGACCCTAGAGAGGTCATAATTTTTATCCGATTTAAAAAACCGTATTATTATATCACCGTTACACCCTAAGGACGACTGAGTTCGAATTTCGTGAAAATCGGCCCAAAACTGACATAAAATGGCCGCCCTTCGTTCTCAAATAGCGTAAAAAATAGGGTATATCAAAGTTGTGGACCCTATAGAAGTCACAATTTTTATCCGATTTTGTTCCTTTCGATATTTGCGCATATCAAATTGTAATTTCCTGAATTATGGCCCTTGATTGTAGGAAAAATCACTTTCTTCTTAGCTTGTTCTCTATCCATCTCTCGAAAATGTGGGCGTATCCTGCCTGGCAGCCACTGGTTACAGTTAATATAATTATGTTTTATTTGTGTTTTTCCACAAATCATAATATAATTATGTTTTATTTGTGTTTTTCCACAAATCGGAATTCTCAGAATCTAACCATAGGATCTTTCTGAAACTTTGACCTACTTAAAAAAAAAACCCAAAGGAATGGTGGCTTTTGCATAGATATATTTTTAAAATGTTTTATGTACTCAAAATACCCAAATGTTTTGAATGAAAAAATTGACCTACATAACTGTGACTTTTTACCCTATTTTACTTACCGGTATTCTTTTTTCTTTGAGTGCCACTGGTTAAAGTTAATATAATTATGTTTTATTTGTGTTTTTCCACAAATCATAATATAATTATGTTTTATTTGTGTTTTTCCACAAATCGGAATTCTCAGAATCTAACCATAGGATCTTTCTGAAACTTTGACCTACTTAAAAAAAAACCCCAAAGGAATGGTGGCTTTTGCATAGATATATTTTTAAAATGTTTTATGTACTCAAAATACCCAAATGTTTTGAATGAAAAAATTGACCTACATAACTGTGACTTTTTACCCTATTTTACTTACCGGTATTCTTTTTTCTTTGAGTGCCTTGACGAAATTACCCCATACCTCGCTCTATCTATCTCTCCAGATGAGAGGCAGGCCAAGTTCGTATTTTGACTAAAGTATGGCCATTTGTTGGACTTTTTTTCACCTGTTAAACTGAGTACACTGTTTACAGACAAATTCAATGAAAAATCAGTTTTACAGAATTTTTTCCATCTATAAATATTCTACATTAAAGAATTAAGTAATATTATCATGTATAAAATTTCCTTTGTGGGGCTTCAATGGATAATCAACTAATTATTTTAAATTTAATTTCAGATAAATATTTTGAATATAATTTCCGAACATTATTTTAAATTTATAATTTCACTAATTTCAGCTAATTATTTAAATGTATAATTTCTACTAATTATTTGAATATATATTTTCAGCTAATTGTTTTCGACATTTAATTGCATCTAATTATTTTAGATATATTATAATTTCAGCTAATTATTTTAAATATATCATTTCAGCTAATCATTTTAAATATATCATTTCAGCTAATTATGCGGGAAAGTGGAAATGTATACAGGTTATAAATGGTAATGGACAGAAAATATCAACAACAAAGGACAGTAAAATAGTTACGGTTACATCTAGCAATAATCAGACACAGAGAATATACCAAGTTCATCCTGTTTGAATATAAACTTTTCAAATATCTGATATTGTAATGCCAGTGGCAGTTAATTTCATAGTATCCAGCTACCTATTTGATAGTTAACAGAGAAAATGTTTGATAAGCTTAAGATTTGATCAGAATGTACTTTATTGGAAAATAAACTAAAAATGTGTTTAATTATGTATTCTAGAGAAAACAGGTAAATCATGAGCAATGCATCATTAAAATCTGAAGAATTAAGTTTAAAAGTCAATCTATCGAATTTATGTATACAGGTAACTGGTTTAGTGTCATTTTGAATTTTCCCAAATTTTTGATTTAACAGATGAATAGGTTTATTGTAGTCTTTTATACATATAATTATGATGGTTTATCATAATGTAACTCATTCATCCATTTATTCAATATATCATGCCAAAATAAAATGCTTATATGTAAATGGGTGTGTCTTTATATGTGCCCACATTTCAGTCTGGAAGTATTATGTCGTTACCATCTCTGTCCATCGGTCCAATAATTGGGGATAGGGGCTGAAGTTTTTGACAGATTCTTTCCAAATTTGGTGTGAACCATTGTTATCATGCGAGGACGAGTACTATTGGTATTGAGTCTTCCGAGAATTTCCCTTCCAGAGTTATACCCCCTTTTCGGAAAATCTTTTGGTGGCATAGAGACTACAGATTTTATTAGATCTTTTTCAAATTTGGTGGAAATCATTGGGGTCATGCGATGAGGAACGCCTTTGATATTCAGGATCCCACAACTTTGGTGGGTATTCTATTTATGCCCCATTATTCTAAAACCTTGAGAACCAGCTAAAGGCTAAATTGGTGTAAATCATTGTGGTCACCACAGGACGAACCCTATCGATAATCAGTGTTCTGACCTTCCAGCCCGAAGTTACCTCCCGTTTGTCGAAACCTTGTGAACGCAATTGAGAGTATAAAGTTTAATAGGATTTGTTTCAAGGTTGGTGTGAAGCATTCAGGTGATGAGGAAATGAAATAGGGTTTAACGTCCTACTGTTTTGCTCCTAAACTGGGCTAATGAAGAGGGGCATACGCCATACAGTGTGCTATGAGGGAAATTTTGCCCGGGCAGCAGCGCTACTGCCTATTCTTATATCGAATTCCAACTGCCAAGGGATCTTTTACGTGCACGCCAATTTGTACACAGGACCTTGGTTTTTTGTCCCATCCAAATGACTAGACAGCTGTCCTTGTCATCACTGCATCATTGACAAGGGGAAACCACGCCGGAAAATCTAAATGAACTTTCTCGGCCAATGCAGGGATCGAACACCCGACCTCCAGGCGAGCAAGCCAGCGGATGAGGAAATGACATTCAGCTTTCCAAGACTTTCAAAGTTGTGCATCATTATACGAAACCCTTGTTAACGCATAGAGGCAATAGTTTTTAACAAATCTTTTTTAAATTTTGTGGGAAGCATTGGGGTCACGAGAGGACAAACCCTATCAATAATCAACAATATGCACCCTTGAAATGTGGTCGCATATTGTCGTCGCCCCTGTTCTTCGGTCCGGCGTCTACAATTGCTTGTGGACGCTCTAGAGGCTAAAATTAATACCCGATTGACTTTAAATTTATACACAGTGTTTAAGGTCATCAGATGAAGATTTCTGATTATTACTGTCAGAGTTATGGTCCTTGATCACTTTGAAAAAACTTGTGGATGCTTTAGAGACCATATTTATCATCTGATTGGTTTTGTATTTATACACTGTGATGACGCCCATATATAATCGTTTCAATTGACTTTAGATTGATACACAGAGTTTAAGGTCTTGAGACGAACAAGTTTATTGATTTTCAATGATTTTTGAACGGCTAGATCCATGATATTAAGTGTTTTGTATACTAAACGAATTCTAATGATTTTCTGATAATTACTTAATGAGTTGTTACTCTTAATCAGATTTTAGTGTATTATAATGTTTCATTAACGGCAAAAGCAAAAATATGCGACAACTTTTGTTGACTGCCGGACAATTTAGCTGATGTGGGCGTAAGTTTCATTGCCTGGCAACCTATCTTTTACAGATTAATTGTCTAATTATATTAAACATATTTATAAGCATCTTAAAATATTCCCATAGACTTAAATAGCCTTAATATACATATTATATTACAAGTATATACCCCTGGGCAAGAAAATAGAAATATTCACGCAGAACAATCAACTCATTTACATTTTTTACTTGACAGTTATGACAAACTATCGCGTTTCATATTAACCAATATCATTATGTTTTCCCCACAAAATCTAATTTAGTTTTTTGTAAGAGCCATTCTAACAGGCGGTGGGGAAAGTTGACGCATCGTTGCTGAAGAAAAGTTACGTCCTGTCAACTTTTGTCAGAAAAGGTAATCGTATTTATTTTGTTTGCTTTGCCTTAACATAAAATCTATTTTGCAATTTCTTGGTGATAATCTTGTTTCATTTGGCAAGATTGGCCGTGCATGGCGTCTACTTTTTTTGTAATTTGATTGTCAATTCATAAGGTATAGTCGAAAATCCATCTTAGAAATTAAAGTACCCGCCCGAGGTACGGGGGTTGTCCAAAACACCCTAAATAATATGCGATCTATACTAATGTCCAAAAGAAAGTATACACACTAAAAATATGAGTTTTGTTTGAATCAACAAAATGTGATAAAACTACACTGAACATGTCTCGTGCGTCCAAACTCAATATTTCTAAGCAAATAAATAGGAAAACAAATTGACATCGTACCTTAATACCGCATACAATGGAAAAACGACTTTGTTTGAAGCAGGACGAAATGCACAGTGTATACTTTCTTTTGGACATTAGTATATATGACAATTGTTATACTTATTTTTCAACATAATCCCCCTTGTCATCAATGCACTTGTTCCATCGTTTCTCCAGCGTATTAACCCGCCAGAAAATTGTTTGTCAGTTAAAAACCAACACCCCCCCCCCCCAAAAAAAAACAAAAAAACAAAACAAACCCCACAGCATCACGGATGACCTCATCATCCGTCCCAAATCTGCAGCCCCTGATGACAGTTTTGAGTTGTGCGAAGAAGTCCGAGGGGCCTGGGTCTGGAGAAAAGGCTGGGTGAGGGGGGGGGGGTCTTGAAACCACAGTCTTGTGCAGCGCTCACTGCTACTTGAGCGGTGTGAGCTGTGGCATATGAGTGAAATAGGATCTTGAAGTCACACTCCTGTCCCTTTATCAATCTGATTAATATACAGATCTATATTTCGTTCCGTTTTTTTTTATACTACTACATGAAGATATGACCAGTTGTAGTAGAAGGTCGCGTCCGAGGTCACACGAGCGTCTTTTGGCCCTGTGACGTCAGACATTTGATTAACCAATCAACGTTGATGTTTCTAGTGTGTTAAATAATAATAATAATAATACTTGATTTATCTAGCGCCAACAATTCAACTCCGCGAGCTGCTCTCGGGTTACCCACAGTTCCAGGCACCTCACGCCAAAACCTCGCCGTAAGAGACCGTTTCATTGGCTAATCCCTCACATCAACCAGAATGCGGGTTATATTACAACCCTTCCAGACTTTAGTGTAGTAAAGACAAGTAAAACTAAATTTTGAACTATAAAAAACGAAACGAAATAGGATCTGTGTTTTAATCAGATTCTCCCTTTATTTGATCACACAACTTGCGCAGTTCATCTGAGTATATATGCATTATTTATGGAGGAACCCTTCATCAGATAATTTATCGTGATTGCGCCCTCGGAGTTCAAGGAAACGGAGGCATGCACTTTTGAACTTGTTGGGTTTTGGTGACGTTACGTCCTTCCACTGCATACTTTGACTACACTATGACCCAAGAAAGCACGTGGATCTCTCCAATAGACCCCGAGAAGCTGTTGACTGACTCCCACGTTTGTGTTCTTCAGTCAACATTCTGGACAGACATCTTGTTCATGTGTGCAGTGGCTAACTGTCTACCAGTTTCTCGTCTGCCCTGTATTATTGTGTCGAGAGCAGCATCTTGGCTGGACACTTCACATGGGCGACAATACCCTGGTTCGTCGTCAGTGGTCATCCGGCCCCTTATAAATTCAGCACACCAGGGTTTGACTATTGTACGAAGGGTCATTTTCACCTAATGACGTTTGTGTCATGTCATCATAAATTTGCTTTGACAATAGTAGGGTGACCCATGTACTCACAGAAATACAGTCCACCGCTGATAGTTCGAGACTACCACTGAAGCGTGCACATTCGCCGTGCCGAGACCAACTTTCTGACAGTATGATACTATAAATAGCCATGGCACGTGCAATTCTCTACAAATCTATCAACTATTACAGCCGTAAAAAATTTATTGTTGACGATTTTGAATAGCAGTTAAATTAAGCTTCTTGGTTATTACAGCAGATTTAGAAATTACGTTCGTTTCATTTTTTAAATCGCTTTATCATTAACTGTACCGTTAAGAGCGGCATCTTTTGGTTTAGTACAAATAATATCTCTGAATCACTCGGGTTAGGCAGGAACATGATACTAGCAGTAGTTTCATTTTACTTTTACAAGCTTCTTAAAACGATTGTTAAGCTGCCTAACGTGCTTATTTCTAAATTCAATTTCTTGTTCTAGCTTTCTGTTACGTTTCGTAAAAAAGTAGTCTTGATTATCCCGACCTGTCAATTAGACGTAGAATGGTCGATAGACTGGTTAAGCGAGACTAATTTCAAAACATGGGCACGTAACCTATCTTTTACTCAAAAGTGTCTGGATGTTATGGACGACTCTTGGAACCAGTTTTCAGTCTATTATTTATACATGATTAATGGTCATAGCTTATTAAGTACAACATGATCGTTTATTTAGTGACTATAATTGTGTGAAACTGATTTGAGGCTTGGCATATATATAAATATTGTGGCGTAATTGTCGAGATATATGGAGATATTTATTTATGGTGGGTCACCCTAACAATAGCCAACTCGTTTTTGATTATGATTGTTTGCTTATTCTCTTACAACCCTCTACTGATATCAGAACTGCATAGGTATTTTCTGAGAGTTTTGATTTTAAAACTTCTAAGCCGATCCTAAGTTTCAGTGGTGTGGATTCTTTTTTCTTAAGTTAGGTGATCAATAATTAGACACCCACACGGCGAAGTATAAAAATTAAAATGAATTACAAA